ACAGACTTAAACCTCACCATTCAAAATGCTTTAATACCTAAGAAAATGATAGTAAACCAACCATGATCTAGAGTCACCTACGTAAAGGTTCTGGCATGCCTTCATGGAAAAGACAGATGGCATGAGGTAGAAGGCCCAAAATAAAGCCTTTGAGCCAGCATTTTTAGGGCCAAAGCACCTGGGAAAAGTGATAATTCTGGAATTCTAATAAATGGCGCCTCCTATATGTACAGAAGTAGGTGAGGTTTTGCCACCCCCCATCCCAAAGGACTAATTGACAAGGTCTAGAGATGCATTTCTTGGTCACAACTGGAGGGGAGGATGACACTGGCATCTGTTATATAGAAGCCATGGATGCTGCCTAACATCCTAAGATGTCCAGAACATTCCCCTGAAAACAAAGAATTGTTCAGATCAAAATATTATCATGTTGAGAAACCCTGATACGGAGGCAAAAGCATGTCATTTCTTCTAGTATGTTTTAGATATTTGTTTGGGTTAACAGTTTGCCGGGAGTTTTAATCCATGGTGTATTCCTTTCCTAAATCACTCTCTATTAAAAAAATTTCATTATGATTTTTAGGTTAGAAATTTAAATTTCTCAATTTAGCACTCTTTACTGTGGAAAATATAATTTGAGAAATAGGAAAGGCAAAAGTTATAAGAGGCCGAGTAGAGGCAAAAATTTAATAAGTATATGCTTTATAATCTTCTGTGAATGTGTTATTTCAATGAAGCTTCATAAGCTTATTTGTATAGTCCACAGAGTAGCAATTCCAAGAATATAATTTCAAAGGACTGTGCTCCTCAATATTTTAACATTGAAGGCCATGTAAAATTTTACACTTAGGCAATTGATAAATACTTTCAAATGGAGCATTTAGAACAAAATTCATATACCATTAATAAAAAAGGCTTATAAAAACAGATTAAACCTCATAATAATATTTTTTAAATACAGCTTTTACAACTTATTCCTTCTACATTAAATGAATATGTACAGATGATCTATAATGTTACTGGCTCTGTTGCAGAATCAGGGATACAGCTCTCAAGGAGGCAACGTCCTCTCAGAGTACAGTCAACTTCTGGGAGACAAAATATAAATATAAAACAAAAAGATTTCATATTGTTGTGATGGAGACAATACATAGGGGAGAGGGAAGAGTATGAGACAGCAGTTACTTTAGATAAACATAATTCGCATTGAGATTTAAAAGATGAGAAGGCAAGAGCTTCATGTGAAGATCCGGTGAGACGTGCTCCAGGAAGAAGGAAACACATATATAAAAACACTGATTTTGGAATGAATTTGGCATGTTTGTGAAAGAGAGAGGAATTTCATAAGAGACAGCAAGTCTAGGAATGGCTGTCACTAAAGCAATAGGAGGCAGTTCATCTAAGTAGGCCCTTACTAATGAGTTGGATTTTGTTCCCAGTGTGATTCACAAGCATTGGGAGATTTTAAGCAAAAGAGTGAGTTCCACGATTTCATTTATACCTTACAATGTTTTCAGGAGTGCAGAGCACTGGGATTTACAAAAGGAAACAGATGCAATCTCTGTCGTAATTACCTAATAAGAGAGACGATTTTATACTCACCCTTATTCTAGGGAGCTACAACATCAGTGTGATTAATTGATTAATTAGAATTGGAGACAGTGCTTTGAAGTAAGGGACCAGTGCTTTATGACTACATATGCCAAAGGAAGCTATTGAGATAGGGAGAGGAAAAGAGAAGCAGTAGGGTCAGATTCCTGAGGGATCACCTTTCCACTGAGGCGTGAAGGATGCATAGGAGTTGAGCAGGCCAGGGGCACAGGAAAACATTTCGCAGAGAAGTCCCGTGATAGCAACAAACATAGGCCTTTAAAAATCTGAAAAATAGCCAGCCTAGCTGGATAGTAGTGAGCTAGACTTAAGAGACAGTTAAAGAGACAGCAGGAAAAGGTGATCCAGAGTCTGGTTTTGCCTTTTATCCTAAAAGTAATGGGAGCTTATCAAGTAGGGGCTGAACACCATTTGTAATATGAAAAGATTTATATTTTTAAGGATCATTGGCTTCAGTGCAGAGTCCAGACCACAGGCAAGCCAGTTCAGATGTGGAGATGTGAGTTGATTTGTTACATCACTAACGTCATCATAATCTTCTCAGGACTCTCTGAGAGACAGAATATGGTTGATTATTCCTCAAATCAATGGATTAAGCATATAGAATTACCTGAAATTTAGATAACAGTTTCATTTATATAAAGTCCAGTTGATTTAACATATTATTACTAATAATATGTTAGTTAGCAAATACTTGTCACTTACTATTTGCAAGCATTGTACTCAGTGTTTTACATATACTCTCATTTAATTTATAAAGCAATCTAAAGTAAAAAATATTATCCCCAATTATAGATAAGGAAACTTGAGCTTCACGGTACTGTGACTTGTTTAAGACAACCACACAGCTATTAAGTACAGAAGGCAGAACTTGAAGCCCGATCCAAACTCTCTATGCCTCAGTTTTCCCACAAATGTAATGAGGATAATTAATGCTGTTTACCTCATAAGAGTGTTCTGAGGATTAAATAAGTTAATCAACATTAACTCTACATTTAGAACAATGCCTAAAAAGCACGGTAAACTCTTAATTTTAAGTTATCATTATTGTTCGTATCATTGTCGTCTCAAGACCTGTGAGATACATGGCCTTGGACTTGAGAAACAAAATCAAGCTATTTCAAGTCTGATTATATCTAAATTTAATTATGTGCATATATCTACTTTTAATTAGTTACGGAGTGGGTTAAATCATTCTCTGCGTGCCTTGGGTAAACTTCATAGACATGCTAATAGTTCTCCAAACACCAACCCTAAGAATTTAGAGCAGGGATGCTCAACCCTGACTTCACATTAGAATCACCCGGAGTATGTAAAAATTACCAATTTCTGAGTCCCACCACCGGAAGTTCACATTTTGTTCTTCTGGGATGGCACCCTGGCACTAGTAATTTGAAGTGCTTTTGGCTGATGCTTAAGTGCACTCACAGTTGAGAACTACCACCTGAGGGTCTTGGCGCTTATCTAGCTCACAGTCTTTTAATTGCAAACATCTGAATAAGATCCAGGGCCCACTGGGAGGTTTCTGGCTTGACAATTAAACAGAACACTCAGCTCCCAGCAGATTGGATTGTTAAAAAAAAAAAATGTATATATATCCTTCTGTCCAAACCCATTCCCTTTGAATCTAAAGCCCCAAGATGCTCTTTCAGAAGATGTAGATAGCTTGCCTACTTACAAAGTAAATCTGGACACAGCATGGACTTTGCCATTTGTAAAGTTCTAGTAATTTTGATAACTGCATTTGTCTAAATGAAAATCTCTGACTATTTTTATGCATTAGTTCAAAAGAAAAAATATACTCCCTAATATGTAGTGATATGACTCAATTATTTTCCTTCTAAACACAAGGCATTAGTCATCATATTAAAAAAAAGCTTTCATATATGTTACAAAATTAAAATGAGAATCATCCCCAGGTAACTACATGTTTATCGCTTCCAGTTTTAAGCAGTCTTATCATTTTTTCTGTGACTCTCATGGAACACAATACCAGCTACTCTATTACTCAAAAATACCCAGCGATAAATTTCCTAAGTGTGATTAAATGATCACGATTTTCAGAGCAGATAGAGGATCAATAAAATATTTTACTTACATCAGTATTTTCGGGTTTATATGCAGCTTTTACTAAATATAATCTCACTACTGTTTTTAATCAGCTTTCCTTTACACCTTTACTATCCTCTATAAATAGAAATTATTTCTATGGAAAACAGGTAGTCAAATAAAAAACAATCAAGAACAGCTAGACTGCCAAAATTTCATTAATGTGATTTTAAGAAAAAGAACTACTAAATAAAGAAAAGACACACACATCCCTCCTGGGAAATATCAATTGATTAATTTTATTTTTTTCTTCTTTAATCAAATATTTTACCTTGGAATGCTGCCGGTGGATACTGAGAAGGATACCCAGGTGGTGGCACATCTGTTCCTAGATGAGGACCATTTATTTGCATGTCTGCAATTCAAGGAGAGGTAAATATATGTCTGTTTAAATAAAATATACATTAGAAAGAAAAATGCATTGTCTTTAGATAATTTTCAATTGTGTGGTCTTAAGCTGTATTGAAATAGGTAAAGTAAATTCTTCACTTAACATAAGCTGTGCCTGTCATCAGAGCTAATTTGCGGTGGAATTCTGTTTCAAATAAATTCTCTTTTAGATAAAATGAGATAGCTGAGTTACTGGAGCTGAATTCACAGTTTTCAAATATGCTAGATGAGTGTTCAGTTCCATGCTTTGATTTTGTTGGTATTAGAAAAAATGCAGTTTTAAAATCATATATAGACTATGAAGAAAGAGATAAATGAAACTAGTTGGATGTGAGTAGTGGTAGAATTACGGATGATTTAAAAGATATCTCTAAACATTGTTAAATGAATTTTTGAAAATATTTAAAATAATGTATATACTTCAGTGAATGTAATTATCTTTTAATGCTTACTCTGGAACTACACTAATAAGCTTAATTATATGAAATTTACAAAACATGACAGATTTTGACCTACAAAAACCATAACATTTAATTACAATAAACTAACATATTAAACTTTGTTACCTGCTAGTTAATGTGGCTTGTGTAATCTTGGTATATGCACTAGTGATTCAAACTCCTAGTTCTTCCTATTCATGTCTCTCCAGTCATTTTTATTCACCCCAGCCAGTCTCTGAATATTTACTGAGCATCTCCTGTGTCACCCCTGAGTTAAGCTCTGGGGCTACAGTGGTTTTGCAATCATACAACTTATAGTCTAGGAGACACTACACTTACCTCCTCCTCTGTTTTCTTATGGGCTACTAATTGTAAATTCAAAATCTCTTATTTTTGAACCACGGAGACATGACATCAATATAGAAGAATATATTGGCTAAACTTTCAATCTGACACATTTTCTGAATGTCTCTCTGTTATGAACTTTCACATGGTTTTATCAGGAAGGCCAGATTGTGCCCCACCCCCGCTTCTCCTCCATTCTACTGGCTTCATAATAACTTCAGCAGTCTGTGGAGACTGTAAATTCAAGCAATAAAGACTCTCCTACTCAAACGAAGACTCTTCCCTGGACAAACACTGCAGGGACTTTTCCTGGGACAGACACTTTTAGTATCAGAGCACTATCCCGGCTTTAGGAATTACAGGAGGAATTCATACAAAGAAAATAAGTGAATGGGCAGGAGTTCAAGCAGAGAAATGAGTATTTACAATGAATTACAGGTTGATTTCTGTATTTGTGAATGCAACTTAAAATATTTAATAGCTTACGAAAGTCATAGGACTATCACTTTGTCTTAAAGATATTTTATTTATCTGTTTTTTTTGAAACTGGGTCTCACTCTGTTGCCCAGCTGG